TGTTCTACACCAAAATGTTTCGCTGCTCTTTGGAATTTGGGAGTTGACTCTTTTTATTATAGAGTCGACTCTAGTGCCCATAAGAATCGAATTTACATTCATAGATTCAACTTTTTATTGGAATTCATAATAATTTTAAATTTTTCATTTGAACAATCAAATATTTAACTCCATATATGATCCTATAATTATATTTGTTACCTTTGTAATATCACGTAAATACCCCTTATTATCACATAAATTCCCCTCTTACCTAGTGTACTGTAGCAGTTAACTTCTCCATCTCCTCCATTGTTCCAGCAACCATTCTCCTCCATTATCTCCCTCTCCTCCATTATTACAGTAACTGTTCTCCATTATGTCCCTCTCCTCCAACCGTTTTCTCCCTTTTTCCTTTTTTTTTTTTTTTTTTTTTTTTTTTTGGTGTTTACTTCCCCTACTCAGATTCTTTCTACCCTCTCATCTCGTCTTTTTCTTTGGGTTCATGTTTGTGAACCCAAATCTGGGTTTGTGTTCATGAACCCAAATAACTTGCTTCACCTTAATGCATATCTGGATTTGTGTTCATGAAACTTCCCTTCTTTTCTTCCTCAAACCAACCCCTTTCCTCCATCTTACAGGTTGTTTAGAATTTGAAATGAAAAGAGAGAAGAACATTCAGTTGGAAATATGGTACCATAACAGGACATGAGATTTAGGTGAATAATCCAGATTTTAGAAATTAATTGTGAATTTTCATTTAAATATTTTTTTATGGGTAAATTTTACTTGAATTCTTGTAAAATATGAAATGGACTATGACAAATTTGTTTCATTTTGTGTTCGGGTATTGAGGAACGTTGTTTAGGAAATTTATTTATGTAACTGCAAGGTAATTTTTAATAATGAAATGTATATAATAAGTAAATATAAATAATTAAACTTTAATTGAAATTAATTGCAAGATAATTGATTTTATTTCAAATTTAATTTATGAATTAAATGGTATTAAATATAATTATAGTAGGTGAACATTATAATTAAAT